ACGAATTTGTTTTTACATATATCTATATACGTGCCATCATGAATCCGTGAAAAAAATAACATGCTCCAAATGCAGCTTTTTAAGTAGGAACTGTACAGGTCAATGTGCCCCCTAGCTAACAGAGTGTGCCACACACTTCAAACTGGGCACAGGGTGCGCCTGTGCACCTGCACACAGCACTGGATGCCTTCAAACGACACTAGACTGCAGTATTTTTCCCCCGTAAGCTAAGGTTATTATTGCGAATGAGTATTAAAAACCTACCGCAAACATCATTTTTCAACAATAGATATGTGGTGGTGCAAATCGCATCCAACAAATCACAGCACCCTATGTGGTGGAAGAAGACATGGCCAACAGGTGTATGCACATGTGGGTTTTTACCGTGACTACCCTGAACGAATAAGTGCGATGGCTGCGTGCACCTAACCACACCACAGGGTGCCTTCTAACGAAACTAGACTGAAGTCTTTTTACCTGCAACTGAATACTGCACTTGAGAATTAATAATCGACAACCAACATAATTTTCCAGCGCTAGATACGCGGTGGTGTAAATCGCAGGCCAACAAACCCCAGCAGACTGTGCATTGGCAGTAGGTATAGCATACAGGTGTGTGCACACATGAAGCTCTGAGTGTGCCGAGCAGGAGACAACATGAGCACGTTCTTGTATGGGTCTGTGCACCACTGAACACACGACCCACACAAGTTGATAAAATCATTGGTAATTACTATACAATAGATTTAAAGGCATTGGCAATTACTCTATTCAAGAATTAATAACAGAGTAACAAGGTCATTACACCCATACCCACACAGGTTGATAAAACCTATAGGAATATAAACACCAGGAGAAAGCGATTATCCACCGCGGAGAGCACATACACAGAAATCGAGGGTGCCATTGTGTATGATTCCACCATGTGCTCACACTGCACCATCCGAGTGCACATGACGAAACAGAACAAGGCATTGGGCACACGCGGAGTGCTAAAGGTACACAAGGCATGATTCCAGCGAATGCACATAGCGAACACACTGAGTGCACCACGACAGTATGAGCACATGGGAGTTGGGCAATGTGCACCTGAACTTCTTCAAATATATAACAACTAAACACACGTATAAGCTGGAAAACTAAAACCAAATCGCCTAATTTAATATTTCTCATCTACAAAACCACACCGCCCAAAACCCTACAACCAACTGTGTGGGGCAATTCAACGGTGCTCTCCTGACCAACGTCATGTGCATGGCAATGTTACTATACAATAGATTTAAAAGCATTGGTAGTTACTCTACTCAAGAATTAATAACAGAGTAACAAGGTCATTACACCCATACCCACACAAGTTGATAAAATCTCCAGGAATATAAACACCAGGAAAAAGCGATTATCCACCGCGCAGAGCACATGCACAGAATTCGAGGGTGCCATTGTGTATGATTCCACCATGTGCTCACACTGCACCATCCGAGTGCACATGACGAAACACAACAAGGCATTGGGCACACGCGGAGTGCTAAAGGTGCACAAGGCGTGATTCCAGTGAATGCACATAGCAAACACACCGAGTGCACCATGATAGTATGAGCACATGGGAGTTGGGCAATGTGCACCTAAACTTCTTCTAATATATAACAACTAAGCACACGTATAAGCTGGAAAACTCAAAGCAAACAACATCACCCCTCCATTTATTAAGACAAAAATGTACCAAATGAATCAAAAAGTACCGCCTGAAAGACCACAACCAGACAAACAAAGTAAGATACATAATGGACTACCTACACACAAATCTATGTTGCACCCCCATCGTCATGATATTCAACCGCACTTCGAATGTTTTTCGAATGGTGCATGTTTAACTCAACCGTCAAAATTTCACGCATATAACTTGCCCTCAACAAATCAAGGCCCCGACTATCACCCTTGCGCAGACCAGAATCCCATTCATTAACGGACTGCCCCAAGAAAGACTCCATGTGCCGCATAGCAAACACTCCACAGTCCACTTTGTTATGTACATCCCGCCAACGCATTTGCATTCTCCTAGGGATAATCCTTCGTACAACAAACCCAACACGTTCATCAACAACATCATCAAGGAACACAGACAAGAAATCTTTCTGTCAAAGCAAACATAGTGTTAGGAAGCCACGGAAAGAAAGCACACAACCAACAACATGACAAAGGACACACGTGATGGAAAATTAAAACCAATAAACAGCAGTGTGAGCATATGAGGGTAACTGTGTGTGCCAAACCATGAAAACCCACAGAAACCCAGAATGCTAAGGCATACACAGTGTGCACTAGACTGTACAACTAAGTGGTCACAAGTCAGAGGTCAAGCTCCCTTCTTAATATATGATATATTCATCTGTCTGTTTCTACTGCCATTTGGAAGAGTAATTCTACAAAGCTATTTTTTTAACACCATGTTAACATAATACAGTATGCACTTAATGCTTGCTATATGTTTAATTACCTAAAAAAAAAAATGAAAAAAACAGGCAACACTGCACCACGTCCCACCCGCCGTCCCCTACCCCTGCCAAACTCGACTCCACCATGAAAGAAAACGACTGCCATCCCCACCCAGCCAAAACCCTTCAAAATGGCGAAAACCCCAACCCCTCGAAAACCAAAAAAAAAAAAACAAAAACAAAAACGCCGGCAAAGCAACAACACTAAATCAAAATTAAAAAAAAAAACAAACCACAATGCCGATAGACACTAACGACGTGAAGAAAAAATACAAAAATCAAACAAAGACACAACTCATATATGCAAAAAAAAAAAAAAAATAAATAAATAAAATCAGATACAAAGAATCTGAAATTCCCAAAAAACAAAGGCAAAAACTCACTTGGAACCGCGGATGACCTCGCCACCGGCGGCGGGCGCTTAGGGTTCCTCGCAACGGTGCCGGCCATCTCAGACGGAGCTCCAATCGACACAGCCGACGTAGTGAAGAACTCTGGAAAGTCTCGACCTTCTCGGACAACTCAAGCGAGACTCCTACGCAAAATATCAGCTTTAAAATTTAAAACCCCACCACGCGCATTGCACTGAACATACTACCCCTACCCGCCTAAATAAAATCAAATACACATTAAAATTAAACTTTCCAAATAATAAAACAAACACCGTAGATTAATTTAAATAGATGGCTTAGATCAGTTCTTACGTTCCTATCTAACAACGGGTTCCTACACGATTGTTATTCTATATATATACATATATATATATATATATATATATATATATATATATATATATATATATATATACAAAAAAGATATACCAATATATATATCAACCGAAATTGGAACTAATAATCCTCAGATTATAAATCCAATTTAAAGCCACCACACAAACGATGTTTACCCAGTTCGGTACAGTGTGTATCTACGTCTGGGGGACGATCACCGAGGCGTCCAATCCACTAACTCATAATCCAATGTACAAAGGTAGAGAAACAAGAATCTCACCCAAGTGCCCCACACAAGGTATGTGTTGGTGATAATGAACCAAAAATCGATTTAATATCGTAAAATAATATTTATATATACACACACGAAGTATATAAAATATTATTCGATATATCTATCCGAAATATATATATACACACAAATATATATATAACGGAACCAACGGTTATATATATAAATATATATCTACGAAAAAGATATACCAATATATATATCAACTGAAATTGGAACTATTAATCCTCAGATTATAAATCCAATTTAAAGCCAAAACAAATAGAGAGGAGGATTTTTGCTTAGAAGCGTAATCCAAAACTGAAAGAAGGAAAGATTGGCTCGTGTTTGGGTAAGGGTTTTTAGCGTGAGTCAAGAGACCACTCTTTCCTTAAACCCTTATTTGCCACCTCCCAAAAGTGCTAGGAGCTTCGTGGCCTAGGTTTTCCCAGGATAAAACGCGCTACGGTTCGACGTTCGAGCACCCAAACGAACGAACCTGGCGAACGGAGCAATGCCTTGAACACAGTTAGGCTTAAGAAAGGAGTAGAAGCAGAAGAGTTTTGAAGCGTGAAACCAAATTTCGTGTAGAGCTCTTGTGCTATTCTTTTTCTGTGTGTTTAAGCTTCTGCCTTCTACCCTTCTTATATAGGGATGGAGTACTTAATAGCATTTATCATGGCCATAATTACACGTTGTGTAACATCTGAAAAAGCAACCCCACTAACAGAATTAAATTCAAAATTCAAAACTGGAGTTAATGGACTGTTGGCCTTCAGCCTCACCAAGGGTAGGCCGAAACTTTCAGCTTCGCCAAGTTTCTGGACGACATTCGTGCCCGTAGGTGCCGACGCACACGAGCTCGGGCTTGAATCAAGCCTTTCCGAAGTCATCTCTAGTTGGAATCAAGCCTTTCCGAAGTCATTGGTAGGACGATTTGAGAAGAATGCAATCTTAGAGATTCGGTCCATACCTTCCAAAAAGTATCCACTGATTTTCTTTCCAAAAAAGTCTTCAAGCCGCGTTCAGTGTTTTGGAAACTTCTTCCTTTCTCAGATCTTCAGTGTCAGTGCGTCTGTCGATGTCTCTGATCAATCAGTCTTCTACAATAGCAAACAGACACCAAGATAAACCCTATCTTAGTTTGCCATAATAATATTGCCAATCATATGTTGGGGTTTTTATGGAGAAAAAATAAAACACTAACAAACTTCCCATTTGGCTATTATTTGGCAAAACAACTCGACTAAGATAAACCAAAACCTATGGAGAAGGAAAAGAAGACAAAAAAAACATCGCATAAAGAGCATAAGTCTGAAATACAACCCTTAAAGGAAAGCAGCACACATGTCGTGCTGATCAACAAAAAAACAAGGAGTAGCATTCTTCGCAGATCATCAGGCCATCACAAACATACGCCCAGATAGGGCCAGAAGGTACAGAAACACACAAAAACTCCCTCTGAGTTCAATCACTCCCCCTTTTTGCCAAAGATAGATAAAGGACCAATTAGGCATCCGAGGGCGCCTCACTGTCGGACTTCTCATTTTCAGCAGCAGCAGACTCAGTCAGGCTCAGACAAAGCATAACAGTTGCAAGTTCAGTACGAGCTGCAGTGAGTTGCTTCGCAATGATTCCATTAACAGTTTCCAGCTCAGACACCCGAGCCTTCAATCGAAGGGAGAGCTGAATGTCCCTCGCATGTGGCGAGTCATCACCAGGAGTGTCAGCATCAGAAGATGGAGGTGCAGCCACAGGTGTAACATCTCGGATATGCTTCCCAGTCAAGAGCCGTGGATCAACAGTGTATAGAAGTGTTGGGCAGATAATCTCGCTTGGCATTGGGACCAGGCCCTGCGTTGTCAGAACTCCAAAGATGAGATTAGGATACGGCAACCTTACCTTCTGTTCCCTCGGATGAATTAAGGTGAGGAAATGATAGAAGATCCACTTCCCCAGATCAATGGTCATTTTGGTGCCAATGCGGAATAGTAGAGCAGCCAGTTGCTTGCCAACCGTATGAAAATGAGCAGAAGGTAGCCAATTGTGTAAGGAAATACTGTGCAAAATAACGTATCTGGAAGTGAGCTTCGAGCTAGACAGTGTATCAACATCACCTGTAGGCCATATAGGAGTCTGACCACCAGTGAGGGTCCTTGCAAGTAAATCTCAATCCGTAATCTCATCCTCATCAACAGCCTTCAGACCATAATACTCATTAATCACGTCCGGGCCAAAAACATACCATTTTCCTCTGATGAAAATCTGCATGCACCGAGTCCCCGTAAGATTGTCAATTTCTTCATTCAGATTACAGTAGAACTCGTAGGTCCGCAGCTTGGAGTAGGGGCAAATGGAGGTGACAGTCTTCATGAGGCCAACTTCACTTAGCAAAGGCAATATGTCACAGACAGAATTCAACTGATTCTCATCCACCGATCGCTGAACTATAAGTTCCAGTCGAACCATCGTAGAACATTTTCCTTGAGCTGTAGCAGAGACAAACTGAGGTTTGTAAATTGATGTGTCAGGGCTGTCCGAAGCAGTTTGGACATCAGGAGTAACACTCCTTCCTCTCGACTATGTAGTTGGTTTCATCTTTCTAGTAGATGTGGTGGAGACCATAGCAGGTGCCTTGTTATTGACAGACGATCGCTAAGTTTTGAAAACATGTTGCACAGGTAGATCACTTTCAGCCTTGACGATTTCAGCAGATCATCTTCTTTTCTCAGGTTGAACCGTATCAAGATTATCATCACCGGTCTCAACAGCTACTCTCTCAGGAATTCCTTTGCGCTTCGACTTTCTTGTCTCTCTGGATGGAGAATGATCGGTTGGACTTGGTGAAACCGAGTGACTTGTTTCAGACACAGGAGCAGACGAAGAGCCAAGAAGCTTAGAGACTTCTCGAATCTTGAAAGAGGTCGAGTTTGGATGTGCTGTTGCTTCCACGGTAAGAGGTACAGACAACTGAGCTTGAGGACCAATATCTTCAGCCAATATCTTCTCATCATCACTTTCAATCTGTGCAGAAGGATCATCAGGGTGAATGACTCTATAAGGTTCTGGTACAGAAGCAGATGGTAAACCAGCAAAGTGCCTAATGTTGTCAAGGCTCTCAGCAAAAGAGGTTAACGTATAAACTGGAACTCCATCAAGTTGATCAGAGGAACGAGGACTTGAGGGTCTGGCAGCCTCAATTTCAGACGACACCTTAGGTGAAACATTAACTGGACAACCTTCATCCAATGACTTTGCAGGATTAGATACGGGCACACCAGGAATAGCAGATCTTGCAACATCAACAGAGTACACAACTAGACTCAAATTTTCTACCTTATCATCAGAATTACTATGAAGAACAACTTTTGTAGACTCCAAATTTTCAGAAGATACACGAAGAGGATCATCAGACACAGAAGATTTCACAGATAGAACAACATTCTCATTATCAGATTGTGCAACAGGTAGAGCAGATTCAACATCATCAGAAATTAAATCATCGGGCTTATCAGGAGATATTTCAATAGGGGTTTCAGAAGAGTTAGACATGTTACGAAGAATGTCAAGACGGTGTTTGCTTCTTCCTCAGCAGCTTGAAGATAGAGAGGTTGAGTTGCTAACCGCCGACGTGAGACTTCTTCGGATTCCAGAGCCCTCTGGGCGAAAAATTGGAGGAAGGCCCCAATACGTTGTCCGTCATCAGGCTCAGGTATAGATGCAGAGCTAACATCATCACTTGCTTCGGAGGCCAACATCAAGAGGTCAATTGTGTCTTCGTTGGATAAATCCGCATAGAACTCCGGGTAATCTGAGAGCACTGTGAACACGATTTCGTCACGGAGAACAGGGTCAAGTTTCAACCTCTTCTTCATAGCGAGTTGTAGGAGAGTTTTGACATGCTGATAAGTGCTTATTTGTCTATATTTTTGCTCCTTTCACTAAGCCATTTTGTTTATAGATCATTCCAAATTTCATTAGATTAGGACTAATTTGTGTTATTTTGCAAGGAATTTGGTTTGAAAAGCTTTGGAAGCAAAAATGAATATTTTCATGCATTTTGAAGGACATTGGAGTCAAGTGGAGCATTTTGGATGAATTTGGAGTCAATGAGAGCCAAATATGAAGCTATGGAGATGGATGCAACACTTCCAAAGGAGTCTAGGGTGGTTCTTTCAATGGTCTTGGTCATGTGGGCAAACCAAAGCAAAAGAGAAGCAAGCGACCATGCAATTGCAATTCCCGACCTGCACGTCGACGTCATGGTTTTTGGACCATATATCAAGCTAAAAACATCCAAATTACATGATTCTTGTCCCATTGCAAAGAAGACTCAAAGGGCTACAACTTATATTCAGACATCAAAGCCTAAAAAGGAAGCCACAGTGGTCAAAATCATCCTTGAAGTTGAAGTTCCGAACTTACAGATTTCACCCGAAACTGACCACTGTTTGGTAATTTGATCATATCTCGGCCTAGAAATGTCCAAATGCAGTGATTTTTGCTCCAATGGAAAGAAGACTCGAAGAGATACAACTTTCATGAAGACATTGAAGCCTAATTCTGAGCATAAAGTGGTCAAAATCAGCCTACAAGTCGGAGTTGCGTTGCAGAGAAGCACTCGACGCGTCGAGAATTTTCTCGACGCGTCGAATCTGGGCAGTGTGATCGCGTTTTGCAATCTGTAAATTCTCGACGCGTCGAGAATTACTCTCGACGCGTCGAGCCCCCCGTCTCTGCTCTATTTTAGCTGAGTTTTCACTCATTTGTACTCGGTTTTGAACCCCATTCGAACCCTAACTATTTTCTACTCTTTCTTTTCATATTTTAGTGTTAGATTAGGTGTAGATTTAGGTTCTTTATCATATTTCAAGCTTGTATTCAAGGAATCAACACTTGGATTCCAAGATTTACCATCCATGTCTTAGTGAAGTTTTCTTCTCCCTTTTATCTCTTTATCTTGCAATGTTTATGCTTTACATTTATGTTTTTGTGTTCTTTATGCTATTGAATCATGAGTAGTTAGTTTATGGACTTGAGTTAGGGTTGTATTATATATCTTGATGCTTGATTTGTGATTATTGCATAAAGGGGATTTTGCCTACCTAGGGTTCTTGAGTTTATGAAGGATTTGTGTTTGTATTTTGTTAATGCTTGGTGTACAACATTCATTGACATGTTTTGGAGGATTATTGGCCTCAATGAGAGTTGGGTCAAGATTTCAAGCCACTCCTTGCATAAACCCGATTTTTCCTATGAAAATGGAAGAAATTGGGGGTTTTAGATGCTTTGTGTTCTTGAAGAACTTGGAGTTGATTCACCACGAGAGTGGGGCAATTCCTTGTTCTAATCCTAGCTAATTTGCTCACGTGAGTGACTTATAGACTAGGATTCCTACGTGCATCCCCTCTATTCCTTGGTTGTGTGATTTTCCCCAATCCTTAGGTTGTGCTATGCATCTAGATGATAATGCTCCCTAGCTTGAGTCCTATTTCTTTATTTTGTGTTTATCTTTGTGTATATGTGTTAGTCTTATCATTTCCTTAAACTTGTAGTTTGCTTAGCTTCTTGTTGATTTCCTTATGCTAGTGCCTAGTTTATTGTGATTGTATATTGCGTGCCATATCCCCCAATCCCCTGAGGACGATATAACACCCGAGCTCACATCTTATTTTTGCTACATCAAAATTGGCGCCGTTGCCGGGGATTGGAAATTTGGTGGTTCTATGTGATTGCTTATTTTGCTAGCATTAGAGTTTAGGGAATCTTAGGAGACTAAGCTTTTTCTTTCTTTTTGTTTGTTTTTATTGTTTAAAGAGCTAATTGTCTTACCTTGATTGAGATTTGGTTGAAGGATCTTTTCTTTGTGCATTCACTCTTAATTGAAAAGGAAGAGTTTTCACCACTCAATCAAGAACTTTGAATCATGGAGGGGTATGATTTCCAAGAGTAAAGAATGTCATTGCCCGATTTCATCAAAATGGGTATAAAGACCTTTCAAAGTGGTCCACTTCAATCATTCCTTTCTTATTCTAAGTGGTGTTCCTATTGTGGTGAAGCTCATGCATTGGAGAGTTGTTACAAGTTAAACTCCACAAGTCAACTTTTCCCTCAAGAGTGTGGTGTCAATATGAGTCAAGAAGTTCCTCAAGAAAACACTTTTCAAGCTTTAGAGCCACAATCTCCATGGTGTGTTATATGTGGTGGTTCTCATGCTTTGGAAAGTTGCCATTTATTGACTCCAACTTACCAAGTGTCTCATCAAGATGATCAACAACAAGCTTTGGAGTATAATGTCAATATCAATCAAGAAGCTTTTCAAGGAGGTGCACCACAAATGTTCATGCCACAAACTCTTTGGTGTGCCATATGTGGAGGACCACATGAAGCCGAAGGATGCTACATCTTTGATCCTAATTTCCAATATCAAGGCCAAGTTCAAGAACCTCCACATCAAGAACCTCAACAACAATATGAAGACCAATTTCAAGAAATCCCTTACCAAGAACCTCAACAAGAATGTCAACCATTTGATCAAGAGTCCGAGATGAAGTCCATGATGGCCAACATGCTTAAGCAAATGAATGAGCAGCAAGTTCTACTAGACAACATGATGGCTCAAATACAAGGTTTGACAACTCAAGAACCCGTTCAAGAATTGTTTTCCAAAGGAGAGGTTCTACAAGAGTTGCTCTTGCCAAATGAAGGTCATGAAGAGAAAGAGAAGATAGGCGAGGACCTTGAAGATGAAGACGATGAGGTCTATGATTAATGCATTGAGATGGAGACGCCAAGTTGGGGAGAAAACGGAGAGTTGCAAGGGAATGGTGGTAAGGAGGAATTTGAAAATGGGGGCAATGAACAACTCCAAAATCCCCCGGTAGAAGAGGAGATGTTGAAGGAGATTGAGATTGATAGAATACATGAAGTGATTGAGGAAACTCCTTCAATGGATGAAATCTCCTTTGGTGAGAATTTTTCAAGAGTTTGGGAACCGGGAGGAGTTAATGTTCTTGAAAGTGTAGGCCCTCATTGGCCTATATTCATATCCAAGGATTCTTCCTTCTTATTGGTCCATGAAGAAAATCCAAGACTTTCCCTACTTGCCAATGAAGAGGGAAATCAAGAAGAGAAAAGAAGTGGAAACCAAGAAAAGGATCAAGTTCATAGCTACTATCTTGATCCAAGGTTTAGGAAGAAATCCTTGGTTGACTTATGGATTAAAAATGGGTTTGAGGAAAGAGTAAGATTGGATGTTGAGTTCAATGAACATCAATGCTTAAGCTTGAGAGTGGTGGACTTGTGCATAAAGGAATTTATTGATGGCTACCATTTGAAACACTATCTTGAGGATAAGTTTGCTAAGAAGGATGGGATGCTCTTTCTCCAATCCAATGATGGTTGAAGCTTGAGAGGTCAAGTCGAGCTAGCGACGTTAAACTTAGCGCTTCATGGGAGGCACCCCATGTTATCTTTCATTTTATTGCATTTTACTTTCTTCTCTATTTTTCTTTACACTTTTATTTTTGATATATCATGCTCTCACTTGTGCTTATTGTGCTACCATTTCTCCCTTGTGCTTTATTTTCTTTCACATCGAGGACGATGTATTTTCTAAGTGTGGGGGGAGGACAAAATTGGAAATTTTTTGAATTTTTTTTTAAAAAAACTTTGCTTGGATGACTCATTGTGCATAATGTTGAATAAATTGTCTTTCCTTGCTTAAAGTTGTGATTACTCCCTCTTTGTTGGCTTGTGGTTTGTTTTGGTGGAACTTGTTGCAATTCAACTTGTGATTGATGAGCCAAGGGGTAACTCATGATTGATCTATTCTCTTGCCAATAACCTTGTTAACCACTTAATAATTGAATCAATTCTTGATCTTGTGTGTTATGCATTGCTAGTGAAGGCTTATGTGAGATTCCGGTCAGGGTTGTTTTGCTAGAACTTGCCTCATTACTCTCCAAGTGAAGTCTAAGATTTGCATGTTTAGAAATGATTTAGGCCATTTTTGTTTAGCCCGAGCCTTTCAAGCCTACCCTTTACACATGTGTTTACCACTAGTTGTCCCCGTTGAGCCTTTTGTGTTTGTTTAATAAGTGCTAAGCACTTGTCCCTTCATTGTGATTGTTTTTCCTTGTGTTAACCCTCATCATTTAACCCTTAACCCCTAGCCAAAATATTTCCCTCCACCCTTGAGAGAATAGAGCATTTATTCTTTTTCTTTGAAGAGATCTTTATTGGAGCTTGTTTTGTTAGCAATCCTCTTGATAATTTTGTCTAAGTGTGGGGGTGTTGGTTCATGGAATAAGTTTGTTTATTGTTTTGCAATGAAAGAAAAGAAAAGAAAAAAAATAATGATGAGAAAATTGAAAAAAAAAAGTCATGAAAAAAGAGATGAAATGAGAAAAATGAAAAGAAAAGAAGAAAAATAAAAGTTTGAAGTTTGTTTTGAGAGTTGCACTCAACCCCCACCACTTTAGAGGTTTGTTTTGTACGTCCTTTAGGTCTCGTTTGCTCCTTTGTTCATAAATTTCATATCTCTTCTAGCTCCAATTGTGAATAAATGTGAAGTTCTCTCCTTTGTTTATTTTCCTTACCCCTTCTTTGTTAACCTTTTACCCTTAGCCCCATTACAAGCCAAATAAAGACCTATTTGATCTTAGCATGCAATCTTAGAGTTGAACTAGTGGGAGTATGAAGGGCATGCCTATGGAATCTCATTCAAAGCCAAGTTTTACATAATCTCAACTTAGCATTTGTGCACACTTGATCATCACACACCTTAAACAATTTTGGTGCTTGGTTATTGGCTTGAGAAATGAACTTGTGTGGAAGGCTAAAATAATTCTTGAAACAAGTTGTCTTGTAGCAAGTTGGTTTGTGGTTTGATAGGTTGTGCAAAGTGGGAGTGTGATCAATTTCATTGCTAGGATGGTGATTTATTTCTTGTTTTTGCTTGAGGACAAGCAAAGGTTTAAGTGTGGGGGAGTTGATAAGTGCTTATTTGTCTATATTTTTGCTCCTTTCACTAAGCCATTTTGTTTATAGATCATTCCAAATTTCATTAGATTAGGACTAATTTGTGTTATTTTGCAAGGAATTTGGTTTGAAAAGCTTTGGAAGCAAAAATGAATATTTTCATGCATTTTGAAGGACATTGGAGTCAAGTGGAGCATTTTGGATGAATTTGGAGTCAATGAGAGCCAAATATGAAGCTATGGAGATGGATGCAACACTTCCAAAGGAGTCTAGGGTGGTTCTTTCAATGGTCTTGGTCATGTGGGCAAACCAAAGCAAAAGAGAAGCAAGCGACCATGCAATTGCAATTCCCGACCTGCACGTCGACGTCATGGTTTTTGGACCATATATCAAGCTAAAAACATCCAAATTACATGATTCTTGTCCCATTGCAAAGAAGACTCAAAGGGCTACAACTTATATTCAGACATCAAAGCCTAAAAAGGAAGCCACAGTGGTCAAAATCATCCTTGAAGTTGAAGTTCCGAACTTACAGATTTCACCCGAAACTGACCACTGTTTGGTAATTTGATCATATCTCGGCCTAGAAATGTCCAAATGCAGTGATTTTTGCTCCAATGGAAAGAAGACTCGAAGAGATACAACTTTCATGAAGACATTGAAGCCTAATTCTGAGCATAAAGTGGTCAAAATCAGCCTACAAGTCGGAGTTGCGTTGCAGAGAAGCACTCGACGCGTCGAGAATTTTCTCGACGCGTCGAATCTGGGCAGTGTGATCGCGTTTTGCAATCTGTAAATTCTCGACGCGTCGAGAATTACTCTCGACGCGTCGAGCCCCCCGTCTCTGCTCTATTTTAGCTGAGTTTTCACTCATTTGTACTCGGTTTTGAACCCCATTCGAACCCTAACTATTTTCTACTCTTTCTTTTCATATTTTAGTGTTAGATTAGGTGTAGATTTAGGTTCTTTATCATATTTCAAGCTTGTATTCAAGGAATCAACACTTGGATTCCAAGATTTACCATCCATGTCTTAGTGAAGTTTTCTTCTCCCTTTTATCTCTTTATCTTGCAATGTTTATGCTTTACATTTATGTTTTTGTGTTCTTTATGCTATTGAATCATGAGTAGTTAGTTTATGGACTTGAGTTAGGGTTGTATTATATATCTTGATGCTTGATTTGTGATTATTGCATAAAGGGGATTTTGCCTACCTAGGGTTCTTGAGTTTATGAAGGATTTGTGTTTGTATTTTGTTAATGCTTGGTGTACAACATTCATTGACATGTTTTGGAGGATTATTGGCCTCAATGAGAGTTGGGTCAAGATTTCAAGCCACTCCTTGCATAAACCCGATTTTTCCTATGAAAATGGAAGAAATTGGGGGTTTTAGATGCTTTGTGTTCTTGAAGAACTTGGAGTTGATTCACCACGAGAGTGGGGCAATTCCTTGTTCTAATCCTAGCTAATTTGCTCACGTGAGTGACTTATAGACTAGGATTCCTACGTGCATCCCCTCTATTCCTTGGTTGTGTGATTTTCCCCAATCCTTAGGTTGTGCTATGCATCTAGATGATAATGCTCCCTAGCTTGAGTCCTATTTCTTTATTTTGTGTTTATCTTTGTGTATATGTGTTAGTCTTATCATTTCCTTAAACTTGTAGTTTGCTTAGCTTCTTGTTGATTTCCTTATGCTAGTGCCTAGTTTATTGTGATTGTATATTGCGTGCCATATCCCCCAATCCCCTGAGGACGATATAACACCCGAGCTCACATCTTATTTTTGCTACATCACATGCTTTGTGGCTGTTTCTGGTGAATGAACTTTCCTTCCCAGCTAATTAATGATGATATTCCTCACAGCATCTGCCATTTTTGTGTGATTTGGGAAGGAGAAAAGAGAAACCCTAGGTGAAATCAATAAGCCAATAACAGAGAGCAAATAGAATTTTTGATCTCTTTCTTCAAACGAATGAGGCCCGATCAAATATACAATCCCAAGGGTGATGAACCCTCTTTAATGCGATTGTCAGACTGCATGCAGTGAATGTGATTGATGCAACGGTATAGCTCCTTTTTAGGGATTAAACGAATGATTTGAATTTTGAAAGAGGCGAATAAATTTTGGTAACCAAGGTTAAGAAATACTCTTAACATAAACAAAAGGGAGATTAAAAAGGAAGTCAAATATGAAATTTTGACCCGATTATCATACACTCTCCTTCTGTGTCAACATTCTGCCTTATATATCAATCCTGTAGATTCCCAGAGCAGATCTGGGAATCTCAAACCGATTTGCATCCAGAGGTTTAGTCAAAATGTCTGCCAATTGCTTATCTGTTTGAATATACTCCAATTCTATCTCCATTGACTCTACCAAGTCTCTGATATAGTGGTGTCTTATATCAATGTGCTTCGTTCTGGAGTGTTGAACAGGATTCTTTGAGATGTTTATAGCACTGACATTGTCACAGTAGAGTGTCATAGTCTGTTGTGTGAGACCATATTCTAACAGCATTTGCTTCATCCAGACCAATTGAGTGCAACATCCTCCAGCTACTATATATTCTGCCTCTACATTGCTTAGAGAGATTGAATTTTGCTTCTTACTTAGCCATGAGACTAAATTCTTTCCAACAAAGAAGCATCCACCTGATGTACTTTTTCTGTCATCTATTTTCCCTGCCCAATCAGCATCACAATATGCACTTAGGCTGAGTTCACTGTCCTTGGAATACCATAACCCATACTGAATTTTGCCCTTGATATATTTAAAAATTCGTTTAGCAGCTATCAGATGTGACTCTTTGGGATCGGATTGATATCTTGCACACATCCCTACAATGAACATAATATCTGGGCGACTTGCTGTCAAATAGAGCAGACTCCCGATTAGGCTTCGATAGACTGTGTTATCAACTGACTCACCAGTATCATCTTTTGATACCTTTGTGGAAGTGGAGATAGGAGTTCTGGGAGTTTTACATGATTCCAGATCGAACTTTTTCACCAAATTCTTGGCATACTTTTCTTGTGAGATAAAGTAGCCTTCAGCACTCTGTTTGACTTGAAGTCCTAAGAAATAAGTCAGTTGACCTACCATGGACATTTCAAATTCTTCCTTCATAACCTTCACTAAGTCATCAGTATATTTCTGTAGAGTAGAGCCGAAGACAATATCATCTACGTAAATCTGAGCTATAGTCACATGACTTCCAGTGGTTTTAACAAACAAGGTTTTATCAACACTCCCTCGGTTGTACCCATGATGTAGCAGATATTGTGTCAGACGTTCGTACCATGTCCTTGGAGCTTGTTTAAGCCCATAGAGAGCTTTCCTTAGCTTGTAGACATGCGTCGAATGAACTGGGTCTTCAAAACCTTTAGGTTGTGCTACGTAGATATCTTCATGCAGATACCCGTTCAGAAATGCTGTTTTAACATCCATATGAAACAGTGTAAAACCAAGAATAAATGCAACTGCCAATAGAATTCTGATTGACTCCAATCTTGCAACTGGGGCAAACATTTCATCATAGTCAATACCCTCAATTTGGGTGTATCCTTGAGCAACCAACCGAGCTTTGTTTCTTGCAATATTTCCGGCTTCATCAGTTTTATTCTTGAAAATCCATTTTGTTCCAATTATGTTAACTCTCTCAGGTCTAGGTACTAGATCCCACACATGATTTCGGTCAAACTGATGAAGCTCCTCTTGCATAACCTTAATTCATAGATCATCCTGCAAGGCTTCCTTCACATTTTTTGGTTCTATCTTTGAGGTGTAGCAAGCGGATCCGGATATCTCTATCAGATTACTTCTCATTCGACTTCTGGTTTTCATTCCATCAGTTGGATCACCAATTATGTTGTCTGATGGATGGTTTTTCTGAGTTCTGGTGGGTTTGTTTTTACCATCATTATCCGAGAGAGGATTCTCCTCTTCAGAACTTACTTCATTTTCGTCTGACGCATCATGAATGTCTGAAAGTTTTGTTCCCTCAGCAGTTTTTGACGACTCATTGATAGGGAGTTCTGTCTCTGGATCAGGTATTGATGTTTCGTCTGATTCTTCTGGATTGTCATCTATAACAACGTTCACTGATTCCATGACTGATTGAGTTCTTTTGTTGTAAACTCTATAGGCTCTACTCTTTGGAGAGTACCCAAGAAAGATTCCCTCATCACTCTTTGGGTCAAACTTTCTTCTTTGTTCCCTATCAATTAGAACATAACATCTCGTTCCAAAAACATGAAAATACTTTAAATTCGGCTTCTTTCCTTTCCATATCTCATATGGCGTCTTAGACGTACCTGGTCTGAGATATACTCTATTCACAGTATGGCATGCTGTGTGTACTGCTTCAGCCCAGAAACGCTGTGGCAGATGCGATGCATGTAACATAACTCTAGCCATTTCCTGTAGGGTCCGGTTCTTTCTTTCCACCACACCATTCTGTTGAGCTGTTCTGGGAGCTGAGAACTCATGAGCTATACCATTTTCAGAACAGAAATCCGAGTATAGAGAATTTTCGAACTCTTTCACATGATCACTTCTTAGCCTTTGGATTTTTATGATTGGTTCATCTTTTTCATTCTGCACTCTTATGCATAGAGTCTTGAATGCATTGAATGCCTCAGACTTTTCCCTCAGAAAGTATACCCAGCTGAACCGAGAGAAGTCATCTACACACACAAAGATGTATTTCTTTCCACCCATGCTTTCAGTCTGAGTTGGTCCCATGAGGTCTATATGAACAAATTCTAGACATCTCTCAGTAGTTATCATCTTTACTGTTTTGTGAGGAACCCTTATTTGCTTTCCAATGGCACATGCTCCACAGACTCCTTCCTATTCTATTTTAAGTTTAGGTATCCCACGAACAGCATCTAACTTGATCATTTTATTTCCACAGTTTTGATTCATCGGATTTTGATATCAGACATGTTGTTTTATTGGTCAGAACATAACAATTGTCAGAAGATCGTGTTCCTTCCATTACCACTTGGTCTGCTTTATCACTGACTCTGCAGCAATCTCGATTAAAGCACACGTTCCAGTTTTGATCACACAGCTAACTAATGCTAATGAAATTTGCTTTCAGACCACTGACTAAGAGAATCTCATCCAGATGTGGTAAACCTGGAACATTTAGGGTACCTTTTCCAACTATCTTTCCTTTTTGTCCGTCTCCATACGTAACTGATCCACTACTAGGTTGTATAGACATAAGACACTTGACATTCCCAGTCATATGTCTGGAACAACCACTGTCGAAATACCATCTTGTTGCTGTCATAGAGGCGGTCAGAACGATTGTGGGGTAGCAGATTACTTCTGATTTTCTGACCCAAATTTGTCTCACGAAGGGAGTAATGGACTTGTTCTGATATTTCTCCTTTCTCTGATCTCTGTAGAAGAAGTAACATTCAGGTCGGGTATGCCCTTTTGTTTGACAGTAGTGACAGACGGGTATGTATTGTCTGACTTTTACAAGCTTGGTCTTGAACCTTGAGTATTGGGATTGTACTTTGAATCTGTCAGACTGGCAGTCAGTAATTCGAGTGTGTATGATCCCTTTCTGTTTTATCTGTGATGATTGACTTTGATCATGAAAGGACCTTTCTACTAAAGTTCCTTCTTTTATAAACATATGTGCTTTCTTTGATAGCTCTCCTCGTTCAAAACCAAGTCCCTTCTTATCATTGGGATTTTGACCAAAACCTAGAACTTTGTCTAAGGTAGAGGTGGTATCCATCATCTTGATCTTCTTCTTTAGATCCTCCAGTTCCTTTATCAATTTTCCCTCTCGTGACCTTATCTGAGTGACGAGATCTTCTTTTAGGATAAGTTTAGTAGATAGTTTCTTCAGTTGATCATCTCGTTGCTTCAGATCGTCATTCAGACTCTTGTTAACCTTCACCAGTTGTTCCCAACTTCCAACTAGTTTGGCAAATTCCAGTTCCAGTTGTGTATGTCTCTCTTCAAAGTCATCTGATGATATGTAAGATTCTTCATCTGTGTCATTCTCTTCTGATTGATTTTCTGTTGTCGTAAAGAAGGCCACGAAGTTTCCCACATTTTCATCAGACTGATCATTTGCTGTTTCTTCATCATCATCACTGAGGGTAGCCACCGACATAGCTTTCTTCCTTTTGAGATAAGTTGCACATTCAGATTGAATATGTCCAAATCCTTCACACTCTCGACATTGCACTGATCTGTTTAGAGGTCTAGCAGTGTCAGTCGGATTACTTCTGATTTGTCTTGTTCGGCCACTTTGAGATTGACTGTTCTGTGAGAAGGAGGGCGTTTCAGTATTCTGATATGAGGAGGTTCCACTTTTGTACTGTGTCTTGTTGGGTTGTCCTTGACTCCAGAGGTTGAAACCTTTCAGAATTTTCTTAAAGTTCTTTGTTAGAAGAGCAAAGGCTTCATCATCAATATAGTCTGTGTCAGATTCTCGATCAGCTTCGACAACAAAAGCTACTGACTTGCCTTTCCTACTGGTCATAGGTTCATCATCCGCTAGCACTTCAAGTTCATAAGTGTGTAAGCTTCCCATAACTTCACCCACACTCTTTTTCTCACAGCCAGAGTGTTCTTGAATTGAGGTCACCTTCATTCGAAAACGTTTTGGTAAAGATCAAAGGATCTTTTTGACCACTCTTTCATCAGTAAAAGGTTCACCAAGTACAGAGGCTCTGTTCATCAAATTCTGAACCCGACTATGAAAGATTGATATTGTTTCCTCTTCACCCATCCTGAGAGATTCAAATTCTGATAATACCAACTGAAGTTTTGACTGCTTGACATCACTGATACCTTCGTATCTGGTTTCAAGAGTGCCCCATACACGTTTTGCTTATTTTATTCTGGTGACAAGGGTAAAGACTGATTCATGCAGAGATCCAACAATAGAATTTAGAGCCTTATTATTTAAATTAGAGGATGTCATCTCTTCTTCAGTCCATGTCTCAATAGGTTTGGCTCCAGCAGTTCCATCAGCATTCTGAACTGTCGGAGGACTCCACCCAGTGAGAACAGTACGATAGACTCTGGTACCTGGAGCCTGAAGATAAATCTCCATTCGAGCCTTCTAGAGGGAATAATTGTGACCATCCAATTCAGGTGGTTTCATACTTGCATCCATTCTGAATCAAAAGACACCCACCCAAAAACACAGGCAGAAAGCAGACAAATACCCAACAGACAACAAGAGAAACAACTTCTTAACGAGAGAAAAATGCAAAATAAAAAACTTCCCGCAAGGATCAAGTCATTGTGTAGACTTAAAAGCTCTGATACCACATGTAATTTTGCATTTTCGCAGATTAAGATAATAACTAGCAATAAGCACTATGGTAAACGACTGACTGATGAGATCGCGTGAGATGTCAGTCAGACAGATAAATCAAAGATTGGTTTGTTGAGGAAAAACTAAAAGCAGAAGCAAAACCACACAAACGATGTTTACCTAGTTCGATACAGTGTGTATCTACGTCTGGGTGACGATCACTGAGGCGTCCAATCCACTAACTCATAATCCAATGTACAAAGGTAGAGAAACAAGAATCTCACCCAAGTGCCCCACACAAGGTATGTACCCAGTCTACAAAGGTTTAGTGGATTGTTGAAGGCGGAGAGCCATGCATGCAGAAGTCCAACAAAATCCCTTCGGTTGGAGAGCTAACTCTGATGTAGTCCGCTTCAATGACGCAGTCCAACGTTGTTCCCACAACTGAGTGATCTTCTCGTCCTTTCGTTTAAGCAACGATAGTTCTTCTCAAGTTCTTCATCATAATCATCAAGAACATATATTCTTTAGAAGATGTACACTCAAAGATGTAATCTTCTGTATAGCAAAGAGTGCTTTTTGTCTGGTTAAAACGTAACCCTAATTTATGGCCGAATGGGGGTACTTATACTTCCTTAGAAAAGCCACTCTCCAAAAATATCTTTGATTGTAGATGATAGGACGATTTGAGAAGAATGCAATCTTAGAGATTCGGTCCATACCTTCCAAAACGGATCCGCTGATTTTCTTTCCAAAAAAGTCTTCAAGCTGTGTTTAGTGTTTTGGAAACTTCTTCCTTTCTCAGATCTTCAGTGTCAGTGCGTCTGTCGATGTCTCTGATCAATCAGTCTTCTACAACAGCAAACAGAGAACAAGCTAAACCCTATCTTAGTTTGCCATAATAATATTGCCAATCATATGTTGGGGTTTTTATGGAGAAAAAATAAAACACTAACAAAGTTATACGAAGATTATTGAATTGCTTGTAGAATTGAAGAACCTTGAAATAGAATGCTAGGAAGTTGAAAATAATGTTGCAAAATGGTTTCAATATAAGAAAGTGAATAAAATGTGAATTTTCTACTTTACCCCTAAAATTTTAAATATTTTTTAATTTTTCCGTCAGTTTTAACGGTCAGGGACCAAATGCGCCACTTCGCTCATAACTGAGGGACTAAAAATGGACACGGTCATAACTCAGGGACTGAGTCGTCACTACCATTATAACTTA